TGGACAGCGGCCGTCATCCGCAGCCATGGAAGGCCTGTTGACGTCGAAGACATCGTTGATAAAGTCACTGCTGCTGAAGGGGTGGCGGGAGCGGTGGTCGGAGGTGTTGTGGGGCATAAACATCAAGCGAGTGCTACCTCGAGGTGTGTCGGGGGATGTCTACGACCTGTCCGACTGCATACTGGAACAGGCGCTCATCGCGCCCACACCTAACCACCTGTTCATGTCGTACCTCAACCACTGTATCAGCTCTCAGATGGTGAGCTACGGGTCGGTGTTGGCGTCGATCGCCAAATACCAGGACTGGTCTAAACCCCAGTGCGTCCACTATCTGCTCGAGTTTCTCATGAAATACAAGGACCGCATCTCATGTCACGGCAACGAAGAGGAGTGCATCGGTCTGTCGAAGGCGGTGGTGGCCATACTCGTGTGGCTCCAGTTGGCGCTCAATCAGTCGCTCGCGCGGCTCCAAGAGTCCAAACAACAGACCAATTCGGGTCAGAATCAGACAAACGTGCAGTCGTTGCACACATCCGACGCGAGTCAGTTCGTGGCCATCATCGAGAGGTGCGCCGACTTCTTGGCGTTCATGTCTTCGTCCCCTTTCCTCAAAGCGCTCCTTTATGTCGGCAAACTCGAGGACCACCAGACGTTCGCCCAGTTCTTGCAGATACAGACAGACAATGAGAGCAAACTCTCGATGGCTTACAATCTGCTGCCTAATAGAGAGGTATTGAATCCGTGTTTGACTTTTTTGTGGCAATCGATCAGAATTTCCACCAATTAAGCGGTTCCGTAATTATCGTAACGTTTTTCTGTTCCTTACTTTTGCAGCCAATCGACGCTATAATGAGTTTCAAACAGAGGGTCGAGTGGTTTGAGAGCAATCCGGCGATCGTGGCCTCGAAGCTGATGACCGCATCCGCCGACTTCAGGTCACCGAAGCCCACATCTTATGCTTCGCTCAATGCTATCATAGCCTTCGACGCTGTCCTGAACCCGGCCTCAGATATTCAGGTCTGTGTGTCGCAGATATTGATGATCGCGAAGTTCAATGACATCACCCCATCTGATCTGTACTGCGAGATCATCCGCTCGTGTCTGGTAGGGCTGGTGGACGCCAGCGGTTCCCTCGAAGACCCCAAACACAACTCATACCTGAACTCTTGGGCGGCGTTTCTATTCCTCAAAGTTCCGCAACTGTTCGCCAAATTGAATACAATTAACGCATTGAAAGGACAAAACAATTTCAACAAACCGGCGAACAGTGAGTCGGCGTCGGACTTGGAGTTGGGTTTAGAGAAACTGTTGACGTATTCGCCACTACTGGACCTCACGGACAGTAAATCCAACTGCGATTGTCTGCAGTGTCTGCTGAATGAGTTGTCGAAAGCAGAGCTCATATCTGCGGCCAAAGTGGAGAAAATAATGGCCAAACGTAAGGGCGATAATCAGTACCGAAACCTCCCGCGCACTGACCAACAGTCGTCCACACAGACGGGTCCGCTACTCATACTGCGAGCCGAGCCCACGGTCACCAGTATTCTCAAGACACTGGACTCGGATTACAGCAAAAATCAAGAGGCGTTGTTCGGCGTGTTATGTCATATGCAGAAGAGCTTTGAGCTGATCCTATGCGCGGCCGCCGCCACCGGAAAGCTCCAGAGTTTCACCACAAAACTCATCGAATTCAATGAGTTTAACAAACAGGCCATTGGAGAGGGAGGGAAGGCGTCGCAGACCAGGGCTCTCCTGTTTGACATAACGTTCCTCATCCTGTGCACAATAGCCCAACACTACGGCACAGACATCATCACAATGAACGCCGAGACCAAGGACTCGTTCTTTGCCACGTGGTGTGCCAACAATCTGACCGAAGGGGGCACTAAATACCGGTGCCCCGACTCNGTTGCAACAGTTCACGACACCCCTGGCCAACGAAGCCAACACCAGCTTCAGCGCGGGCGGTGGCGGCGGCGCCAGTACTCCCGATATCGCCAGCATTCAGGACGCCGGTAGAGGACAACCGGCTCCGACTGCCGGCGCCGCTGGTGGCGACCAACCGAACACCTACTATAAGGAGAGGTCGACACTAATGGCGAACGTAATTAAGAAAATGTTTTACGACTTACATCCGCGACAACAGAGCAAAAACAAGGCCATCATCTCCAGCCTGTCCAGCGGTCTCACCGTTAAGACGCCGCTGTCAGAGCTCATGGAGTCGGCGTTTGCCGGTGCCCACGAGCGCTCGTGGCTCGACCTCAAGACCATCTACAATATGGACACTCTGTTATGTGTGGGCGGTCCGCAATGGTTCACCGATACGCTCATACGACAGGTGCTGCGGTTCGAGCACTCGACTGACCTGAACCGGGCTATCGATCTGGTGTTTGGTCTCTTCCATATGGACATCGAACAGTGCGCTCTGGCGCTGGTGATCAACATTTTGCCCAATTATCTGCTCAATGAGAGCAAACAGGAGTATCTGTCGGAGCCCAAGGCGTCGGCGCTTATCCGGCTCACAGTAATGACAATATATGTGGCGCTGAATGAAGTGGAAAGCGGTCGCAAATCGCGACAACCCAAGCGTATGGGCCGTAAGCGGCACTACTATCAAGAGATGACGGCCGCCTGCGAGCCAATGGACACAGACTTCAAGGCGTCGGGCGGCGCACGAGCGGCCAAATCGATGCGCACAGACATTGAACAGGAAATGCTGGACAACACGCCCGTGGCGTTCGAGTACCAGAGCGTCGGCAACGGGGACGACGGCGACTACAAGACGGCGCGCCAGTACCTGCTCAACGAACCCATCTATAAGGCAATCGTGGATCTGCTGCGGCTGTTGACACTGATAGCGGCCGACCACACCATCAGTCAGCGCACGTTAGTACCCATACTGTTCTTGGAGCAGCTCATCCTATGCGTCAAAGGGGACAGCCATAAGATCCTACAGCTGATGCCCATGAATATGATCGCCTGTCTCATCAAAACCATACCCGACTCGCTGTCCATGGAGTTCCTGTTGGCGGTGAGCGACGTGCAGACCACGCGCTCGCGTAAGATAACCGCCCGTATGCTGTGCCAGTTGGCCAAAGCCAAGGCACAGGTCACGCAGTTTTGAGATCATTGGCAAACGAGACACACATTTCTGGTTTTTGTACACATTTTGTATGAATAAAAATAATTTAATTTTCAACACAATTATCGATACAATGATTGGTATATAAAGAAATACGCGAAGAGTTATCGTAAAGAAAAAAACAAAAACGAATGATAAGTAAATGCATGAATTGAATTGTAATCAATAGATTCATAATTAGGATATTAAGTGATTTAAACGGCAAATGTCTTTTTATGGATAGAATTCGGTATCAAAAGTGGTCAATGAATGAATACATTACACTATAATTATAATTATTATTGCAAAACAAAATTAACTCAATTTATAAAACATTAAAATATCTTATTTTTCAATCTATACTCAAACGTCTAATCACTTAATAATAACAACACTACGCTTACTGAGAGCGCCGACCGATATGCGCATATTTAGCCTCCTATTGCCTCCCGGGGCTGCGGCGCCGTTCGCCACCACTGTCTGACTCTTTGGTGTGGGGGTCGGCCTCTGTTTGGGCGCCACAGCGGGTGCGGGCGGCGGCGGAGTTCTGTTATAGTCGGGCGAGTTGTTGGAACCCGAAGAGTAGGCGCTTTCGGGACTGTAGGCCTCGTCGTACGACAGCTTCCGCTTGCGATCGGAGGCGCCCGTGTATTTCGATTTGTCGAGGAATGCCTTGTATTTATTGGCCACGACCTCCACGTCCTCTAATCGCAAGCTATCGTCGATTAGGTGACACCAGTTGTGCACACTTTTTGTCGTTATCTTTGGGTTTTTCGGTTATCGTTGGGAAAGAAAACACACTTTTCCGTCAAAAACAGCACTCAATTCGTAACCGAAAGGCAGGAGTCATAGGCATAGAGCTATCAAAGGCTATCAATAGGCGGGCAGTGCTATCAAAGTAGTAACTCATAGGAAAGGGGTCAGAAATCGGGTGCTAATGGGGGCGCAAGAGTTGGGGAATCGGGTAGTAGTTAGAGAGGGGGTGTGTGTGAAAGGTATGGGTCATCAACAACAGCAGCATTACCGGTGTGTTGAGGAACTCGGCCGAGAGGTATAAGCAGACGCACGCCATGAATGTGTGACTGTGTTGTAGGCAAGCGGTGGTCAACCGGAGCAGATCGCCGGCCATCTTGTAGGCGTTCGCACCGATCTCTCGCTTTATCACAGAGTGGTTATCGGAGGCGCTTATGATCACAGTATGCGAGTGAATGACCATTAGGTCGAAGCCGAACGTCAATAGCAT